CCCCCCCCCCCCCCCCCCCTCCCCCTTTTTTTTTTGGATCAGACCCCCACCCCCTCCTGTTAGTATCAAAGACCTTCTAGCTTTGTTCAACCTTTATAAAGTTGAAATTTCAAATTTATTTTCTTTATTTTCAAAAAGTACGTTAGTATTACTGTAGTCCAACATTAAATATATTTGTTGAGGAAGATTTTGGTATCAAAGTCAGTCCCATATCAAAATTTAAATTATTTTAAGGTCGAGTTACATCTTTGTGTAGTATAAATTATAATTGAAAAGTGTATGATGGATTTTATATAAAATATCACTATCGATTATGAAGGTAAGAATTTTTAAAAGTAAAAATATAATTTTTAAAAATTAAGTTAAAAATTTTAAAAATAAAAATATAATTGATTAGAGATATTCACGATGAATCGTATCATTTTCATGATTGATTATGAATTTACCTAAATAATTGTGACTTTACCTTTAATGTTAGCCATCAGTGTTAACATGTTTGTGGAAACGTTGTGTATATGAGAGAGAGAGAGAGAGAGAGAGAGAGAGAGAGAGAGAGAGAGAGAGAGACCAAAGGGTAAGAAGGTGCAACAATGGTTAAGAAGGTGAAACATTTGAGCAAAATCAGACAACAGAAATTAGCAGCTGGCTTGGCTATGTCAAAACCCCATAAACAAACCACCTTGGCTGAACTCTTCGAAAGTTTCTTGTTTCCCAACTTATTGTGGAAATATTACTTTCCTCTCTCCTTCTCTCTCTCTCCCCTCTTTATTTTCTCTTCATCTCTGTCACCTTCACATTCTGCAGGAAGAGAAGAAGAAAGTTTGGTGGTAGAGAGAAAGAAAGACCATGGGGAGAGGTAAGATTGAGATCAAGAGGATAGAGAACTCAAGCAACAGGCATGTCACCTATTCTAAGAGAAGAAATGGGATCATGAAGAAGGTTAAGGAGATCAGTGTTCTCTGTGATGCTCATGTCTCTCTTGTTATATTTGCAAGTTCTGGAAAGATGCATGAGTATTGCAGCCCTTCTACCACGTATGTATCTATGTCCATATTTGCTTCTCTCTCTCTCTCTCTCTCTCTCTCTCTGTATGTTTGTGTGCCTCTGGGTGTTTATGTGTGTGCCTTCTCTCTCTTCATCGTTTGTGGTATCATGGTATGTGGGTTTTTGGAACTTGATGAAGGTTGATCAAAATATTAGAACAATACCAGAAGGCGTCTGGGAAGAAGCTGTGGGATGCTATGCACGAGGTAGGTTTTGATTCTTTCTCTAACTCTCTTCTTCCTAATTTTTCATCCAACCCTTTTGTCCATGTTTTTCCCTGATAGCATCTGGTTTTTCTGCTTATCCTTGTGCAAGAAGAAGACATAATTTTTTGCTAAAAATATGTCAAGTAGCTTGAAACATGGATTCTATGAACAGATCTACAAATAGGAGTACTTCTCTCTTTCTAGACCTATATCTCCCCCCACCACCGTCTCTTCAGCAGTATTTTTGTGTTCTTTCATGACAAGAAACACAGAAAACTATATGAGATGTTACATCCATGGACAGATCTGGTAGTAAAATGTTATTCTCTCTCTTCATTTCCCTTGCAGAATAAAAGTAATAACTTGTATCTCTATAGTTATTTTTTTTTGCACTTAAAAATCATGTATTTATTTCCCAGAACAGACCAATATTGATGAGCTCTCTTTGTTCCCATTTCTCAGTTTGATTATTTGGTTATTTTCCAAAAGGGTTTGCTCAAACATGTAGCATAAGTTTTATGAACAGATCTTCACAGTTGTTATTTTTTTTTCATGGTTCTGTGTATTTTCTTGTTATTTTAAAATAATCATTGGATTTTTGCACCTTTGAAAATGAAACATATAACAGAATCTCAGCAGTGAAATTGATAGAATCAAGAAAGAGAACGACAACATGCAGATTGAACTAAGGTAGCTCTCTCCCTCTCTCTCTCTCCCTCTATTTTTCTTCCTTTCTTATGACTAAGTGTTTAGCAGGCACTTGAAGGGGGAAGACATCACCTCTTTGCAATACAAAGAGCTCATAGCCATAGAGGAAGCACTTGAAATAGGGCTTTCTAATATTCGCAACAAACAGGTAAGTCTCAGGGTAATCTTCACCCTGTTGATTTTTCATCATATATCTGGTAAACCCAAAACAATATCTGATCTCTTCCCTCTTTTCACCTTCTTTATATAACAGATGGAGTTCTTCAAGATGATGAAAAGAAATGTATGTACAGATCATATAACCTTCTACTCAGTGATTTTATAGCCCCATTCCTATGTTTGATTGTTATATGGTCAGAATTAGGTAGCTAAGAGTATCTCAAACTATGACTAAAATTTGAGACAACAATTGAGTAAAGCAATAGATTTAATATAATGGTACCAAAGTTTATATATGTTACTAAAGTTTATTTTCTTTTGTTTAAGTTAAAACTTTTTAGATCAAGTTATAATTAAATCGGATAAACTTAAAACTATTTTAGACCAAGTTTACAAATAAACTAGGTCAAGTTACGACAAATAATTCGAATTGGTTCCAAACAACCATTTTTTTCATGTAATATCACTAGATTGAGTTGTTATTTTATCCTTTAATTTGCACTAATTTCGGTATAATACTAAAAAAAAATTCAATTCGATTTTGTAGTCTTACTTCTTACATATACATATATATTTATACATGTACATGTAGTCAACTAGGACTAGATTACAAGTGTCAAAGGCTTATTATTGCTGCTCAATAGAGGAGAGAAAAGGTTGTTACTTCGATTTTTTGGCTGAAAAATGCTTCAGGAACAAATTCTGGAGGAGGAGAATCAGGAGCTGATGAATGTCTTGGTATGTTCATGATCATCTTCCCCATAACCATGCATGAACAAGCGTCTAATATTTCATATATGCTTGTGCCTTTTATGTCAATGTGTAAATGCAAGCATATGTGTGCATGGGCATATATGTATGTGCACCAATGACATCTCATGTACACCAGGTTAACTCAGGCTTTCATATGCTTGTGTGTGTGTGTCAAGATCATGAAACAACAATGTATAGTTAAATTATCTTGCTTTATTTTATTTTATTAATTGGCTAAAGTATCTAATATTATCAAGTTCTATTTTCATAGTAACATTGATAAAAGTAAAAATAAAAATTTATAGTAAAATTTTAAATAATTATGTAAAGATGATATAAAACACATTATCATTGTCACAGGTACTCAACATCCAATAAAAAACTAACAAATAAGTTAATGGGGCATAGGATGAAGCCCATGATCTATCTTGGAAGTGGAATGATTAGGTCATAGCCCAATGGGCCATCATACCACTGGTCAAATGGAAACCCTGAAGTCCATAGAACAAGTCTAATAATCCAAATGAGTTGGTGATGAATTTGAGGAATTAGTATATAATTAATTAGCAACCATTAGACTTGCTATGGTATAACTTATTTGATCAGTAGTCTTGCCAAAAAAAAAAAAACACAGAATGGCATGTAAGTTCTTTAGTTCAAGGTTCTGTGGGGCTGGATAGTCTTAGGGTGTGTGTGGGTTATATGGATTACCATTAATTGGAAGTGTAGTAGTTATCCAATGATAAAAAAAAAAAAAAGGTTTGGTGAGGCAAACCATTAATTTTATTTTATTTTCTAAAAATAATGCAATAACATTAACGATGAATTTCATACACAACTCTAGATCAACCACACAACTCGTTAATATGATGTAAAATTAGAGGGTTTGAATCTTCTTTAAATCACCTGTTTTTTAAATAAGTGGACTCGACACAATACGATTAATAAATGAACCGAGAATGTGTAAAGTAAATTAAAAAAAATATACAATCTTATTTATATAACATGATTCATACGATACGAATTCGATATAACATAACTTATTANTTAAAAATAAAAATTTATGGTAAAATTTTAAATAATTATGTAAAGATGATATAAAACACATTATCATTGTCACAGGTAATCAACATCTAATAAAAAACTAACAAATAAGTTAATGGGGCATAGGATGAAGCCCATGATCTATCTTGGAAGTGGAATGATTAGGTCATGGCCCAATGGGCCATCATACCACTGGTCAAATGGAAACCCTGAAGTCCATAGAACAAGTCTAATAATCCAAATGAGTTGGTGATGAATTTGAGGAATTAGTATATAATTAATTAGCAACCATTAGACTTGCTATGGTATAACTTATTTGATCAGTAGTCTTGCCAAAAAAAAAAAAANTCTTTGTTGTCTCTTTTTGCCCCCTCTCTCTATATCTCGATGCTATTGCCAATCGCTGAAGTCGAAGGATTACTCCATCTCGTTTCTAGTCTCTCTCGACTCAGTCTTTCTCTCTCTCTCGCCCTTCTGTGATGATTTTGCTGGGGAGTTTCAGGGTTGAGTTTTAGGTGTGGTGTTGGGGTTGGGTGGTGGTGCAGGTGGGTTGTGGGTTTCAATGGTGGGGGTTGGNAAAAGGTTTGGTGAGGCAAACCATTAATTTAATTTTATTTTTTAAAAATAATGCAATAACATTAACGATGAATTTCATACACAACTCTAGATCAACCACACAACTCGTTAATATGATGTAAAATTAGAGGGTTTGAATCTTCTTTAAATCACCTGTTTTTAAAATGAGTGGACTCGACACAATACGATTAATAAATGAACCGAGTATGTGTAAAGTAAATTAAAAAAAATATACAATCTTATTTATATAACATGATTCATACGATACGAATTCGATATAACATAACTTATTAGATACGAATTAATAAATGAATTAGATATGTGTAAAATATTTTTGACACAAACCTGTTAACACCTGAGCGGCATACATATTGCCATTCTTGAGCTTCACAGAAGCTTGGTTCTCTTGTTTCCAAACTTGTATAACTTCTACTACGATAGTAATTATAAATTAATTTCGTATCAACATTTGCAGCAACAACAGGAGTTAGCAGCCATGGATGGTGTCGTGAGAGAGGGTCAAAGTGGATACCATCAAAGAGTGAGAGAATACCAGCCTCATATGCCTTTCGCCTTCCGCGTCCAGCCGATTCAGCCCAACTTGCAGGATAGGATTTAGAGCGCTAGCTGTTACTGTTTCTTATTAACTATCTATGGCTTGGTGTGTTCTAAGAAAAACCTTTTGTGTTTCATGGTTTGTAATGGATCAGATCTTAAACTCCTTAAGCAAGTAACTATGGGTGCATTTTTACAACAAGGTCACCTTCATTAATACAAAGTCTCAAACTTTCAGATCACCTTCATCAAAATGCTCCTGCATTTACATTAGTCTCTGAGTTTGGCAAAGAAATTCCAAATATAAAGTTTGAAGATTGGCAACACATTGATTTGTTGCTCTGAAGTTGGATTGCTGGAACCTTGTCTAAAGAAGCACTTAGCCATGGTATTGGCTTAACTACTTCTGAAGAAGTATGAAATTGCTTGGACGAAAACTACCTTCAGGCAACTAAGGGAAGGGAGCTTCAACTTAAACGCCAACTCTAAGATCCTAAGAAAGACTCCACACCTTTGGATGAATATCTCAAGAAATTCAAAATGACTTGCGATAGTCTAGCAGCAATACAAAAACCGATATCCGACGAAGATAAAACTGTCCAACTTTCCCATGGTCTTAGGAAGAAATATGATGTTTTCATCACTACAATGCTTTTCNGAGGGTTTGAATCTTCTTTAAATCACCTGTTTTTAAAATGAGTGGACTCGACACAATACGATTAATAAATGAACCGAGTATGTGTAAAGTAAATTAAAAAAAATATACAATCTTATTTATATAACATGATTCATACGATACGAATTCGATATAACATAACTTATTAGATACGAATTAATAAATGAATTAGATATGTGTAAAATATTTTTGACACAAACCTGTTAACACCTGAGCGGCATACATATTGCCATTCTTGAGCTTCACAGAAGCTTGGTTCTCTTGTTTCCAAACTTGTATAACTTCTACTACGATAGTAATTATAAATTAATTTCGTATCAACATTTGCAGCAACAACAGGAGTTAGCAGCCATGGATGGTGTCGTGAGAGAGGGTCAAAGTGGATACCATCAAAGAGTGAGAGAATACCAGCCTCATATGCCTTTCGCCTTCCGCGTCCAGCCGATTCAGCCCAACTTGCAGGATAGGATTTAGAGCGCTAGCTGTTACTGTTTCTTATTAACTATCTATGGCTTGGTGTGTTCTAAGAAAAACCTTTTGTGTTTCATGGTTTGTAATGGATCAGATCTTAAACTCCTTAAGCAAGTAACTATGGGTGCATTTTTACAACAAGGTCACCTTCATTAATACAAAGTCTCAAACTTTCAGATCACCTTCATCAAAATGCTCCTGCATTTACATTAGTCTCTGAGTTTGGCAAAGAAATTCCAAATATAAAGTTTGAAGATTGGCAACACATTGATTTGTTGCTCTGAAGTTGGATTGCTGGAACCTTGTCTAAAGAAGCACTTAGCCATGGTATTGGCTTAACTACTTCTGAAGAAGTATGAAATTGCTTGGACGAAAACTACCTTCAGGCAACTAAGGGAAGGGAGCTTCAACTTAAACGCCAACTCTAAGATCCTAAGAAAGACTCCACACCTTTGGATGAATATCTCAAGAAATTCAAAATGACTTGCGATAGTCTAGCAGCAATACAAAAACCGATATCCGACGAAGATAAAACTGTCCAACTTTCCCATGGTCTTAGGAAGAAATATGATGTTTTCATCACTACAATGCTTTTCAAACCCCCTTCTCCCATATTTAATCAATTTGTCACCGCACTACAAAATTATGATCTTAGAGTTGAAATCAATGAACCCGAAGATAAAAAGGATATCAATCCTAATCTTGTGTTTACTACATAACACCATGGTGAACAAGGAAGATACTTTGGTCGTGGTCATGGAAACAATAACTCCAGTGCCCATGGTTTTCCCTCACTAGGTCATAGTGCCTATACTCCACAAGGCTACAACAACAACTTTACTATTTCCAGCGGGTCCAACAAGTCTTTCATGCGTCAACCTCCTAACAATCAGCCACAAGATGGATCTCTTCACCAAACATCAATCACACATACGCCTTATTCGTCATAAGTTCAAGATGGCACTCTTACCCCAATGTAAGATTTGCAGTTGCTTTGGTCATATAGCTTCTAAGTATTGGTACAAGTATGATCATGCCTACGATGTTAACTAGAATTTACTTCGGACTCTTGCATCAACTGCTTTGTCAAACTCGCCACACCAAGATTCAATTGGTATCCCGATATGGGAGCTACTTCCCACATGACTTCAGANGCTTTGTCAAACTCGTCACACCAAGATTCAATTGGTATCCCGATATGGGAGCTACTTCCCACATGACTTCAGATACAGGTAATCTTCATACTCACACTCCCTACCATGGATCTAATAATGTTATTGTGGGTGATGGATCACACTTGAATATTTCTCATATTGGTAAGACTACCTTGAACTCATCCATTGTCAACCTAGATCTTACTGATGTTCTGGTTGTTACTGATTTTAAGCAGAATCTAATTTCAGTTAGTCAGTTGACCAAGGATAACTCATGTAGATTTGAATTCTCTTCTTGTGATTTCAAGATAAAGGACCAAACAACGGGACAGATCTTGGCAACCGGGCATTGACGTGGAGGACTAAATGCTTTGTACAAAAAAGAAGCGTGTGAAACATTGGTAGTAATAAAATCTGGCAAAGCACCAGTAGCATTTGACATCAACGACTTGGGCATCCCCATTCAAAGCTTCTTCATGTTTTAGCTTCTAAGAAATTTATCGATGTTTCAAGTTGGTTGAAACCAATGAATGTTTGCAGTAGTTGTCAAATGGGAAAAGGTTGTCGTCTTTCTTTCTCATTGAATAATCATGTTGGAACTATTACGTTAGCTAAAATTCACTGTGGTTTATAAGAACTTGCACCCGTTGCTTCAGTACAAGTTTTTTGATATTATGTGATTTTTGTGGATTATTGCACCAAATTTACTTGGTTATACCCGTTAAAACATAAATTTGATTTTTTCTGGACTTTTTGTAGGCCTTTATGAAATTTTAGCAATTAGTTGAAAATCAATTCGATAGAAAGATTAAGGTGGCATTTGGTAACAGACAGTTTTTGTTTTTTTTTTTCCTTTTTGTTTTCATTTTATAGCTAAAAAAAAAATAAAAATATGTTTGGTGAATGTTTTATTTTTTTTTTTTAACATTTTCGTTTTAAAAACAAGGCTAAAATATGGAAACAAGAAAAAGGATGTTTTTGAAAACATCCAAAAAAAAAACACGCGCAAAGAATTAATGAGGTCTTGACTTCGATCCTCCGTAGCAACAAAAATCATTGTTTTTTTTACTTGGGTATAAAAGACCCATCTCTTTCACACTCTTTGTTGTCTCTTTTTGCCCCTCTCTCTCTATCTCGATGCTATTGCCAATCGCTGAAGCCGAAGGATTACTCCATCTCGTTTCTAGTCTCTCTCGACTCGGTCTTTCTCTCTCTCTCTCTCTCGCCCTTCTCTGATGATTTTGCTGGGGAGTTTCAGGGTTGAGTTTTGGGTGTGGTGTTGGGGTTGGGTGGTGGTGTAGGTGGGTTGTGGGTTTCAATGGTGGGGGTTGGGGTGGGGTTGTAGTTGTGGTGGTGGGGGTGGGTTTCGATGGTTGGGATTGGGGTTAGGAGTGGGTTGTGGGTTTTGATGGTGGGGGTTGGATTGGGGGTGGGTTTTGGTGGTTGTGGTGGTGGTGGATTTCAGTGGTTGTGGTGACTTTGTCACAGTAGTGGGGTTTCGGTGGTGGTTTAGGGTGAGTTGGGAGTGAGTTTTGGTGGTTGTGGTGGTAGGTTTTGGTGGGTGGGGGTGGGTTTCGGTGGGTGGAGTTGGGAGGTGAATTTTTGGTATAATACCAAACAAATTTTTAATTTTTTAATTTTTTAATATATAAATGACTATCAAATATGTTTTATATTTTTAATTTTTATCATTAAAAAAATAAAACTTAGTTTTGTTTTTTAATAAAAAAAAAACATAAAAACGACAATGTTATCAAATGCACTCTTAAGACTTTTCAATGTGAGGGAAGACGAGAATTTGAGTTGGGCAAATTCTTTGTTCATTTAGATCACTGTGGCATTCAACGACACATCTCCTGCCTTGAAACTCTTAAGCAAAATGGAGTAGTATAAAGGAAACATAGGCATATTGCTTAAACTGGGTTTACGATGCTCTTTCATGCTCACCCGCCAAAGCATATCTGGATTAAGGCATTTATGACTGTAGTACATCTTATTAATTGTTTGCCCTCATCAACGGTCAAAGTGGAGACTCAATTTTTTCAAAAGTTATGAGCGTCACTCTGAAGACACTTCACTAAAGGTTTTTGAATGTCGATGCTTTTCATATTTACGACATTATGCAAAGAATAAGTTTAAACCCAAGTCTTACCCATATGCTTTTCTTGGTTACAGTACCACTCACAAAGGCTATAGATGTTTTCATCCTCCGTCTAAACGGGTGTACCTTTTTCGCCACTTGGTGTTCGATGAACAAATATTTCCTTATACTGATCCTGAATCTTTGTTTATTTCTTCTCAGATAAGTGATACTATTTCTACTTATTTAGAGTTCCTGGATTGTTTTCTTCAGGTACCTGTGTCTACAAATACGTCCACTACTCCTCTTCTTTTATCAGAACCAAGGTTGCATAGCCCTATACACCCACATGGTTCTCCAGCACATGCGCTTTCAACTATTGCCGAGAGCAGTGGTGCACCTGGACTACATCCCACCATCTCAATTTCTGGTGGTCCTTCAGCACATGTGCCTTCCTTTATTGGCCAGGCAGCAGTGTGTCTTCAGCTGCTGATGCAGCACCNCATAAAAACGACAATGTTATCAAATGCACTCTTAAGACTTTTCAATGTGAGGGAAGACGAGAATTTGAGTTGGGCAAATTCTTTGTTCATTTAGATCACTGTGGCATTCAACGACACATCTCCTGCCTTGAAACTCTTAAGCAAAATGGAGTAGTATAAAGGAAACATAGGCATATTGCTTAAACTGGGTTTACGATGCTCTTTCATGCTCACCCGCCAAAGCATATCTGGATTAAGGCATTTATGACTGTAGTACATCTTATTAATTGTTTGCCCTCATCAACGGTCAAAGTGGAGACTCAATTTTTTCAAAAGTTATGAGCGTCACTCTGAAGACACTTCACTAAAGGTTTTTGAATGTCGATGCTTTTCATATTTACGACATTATGCAAAGAATAAGTTTAAACCCAAGTCTTACCCATATGCTTTTCTTGGTTACAGTACCACTCACAAAGGCTATAGATGTTTTCATCCTCCGTCTAAACGGGTGTACCTTTTTCGCCACTTGGTGTTCGATGAACAAATATTTCCTTATACTGATCCTGAATCTTTGTTTATTTCTTCTCAGATAAGTGATACTATTTCTACTTATTTAGAGTTCCTGGATTGTTTTCTTCAGGTACCTGTGTCTACAAATACGTCCACTACTCCTCTTCTTTTATCAGAACCAAGGTTGCATAGCCCTATACACCCACATGGTTCTCCAGCACATGCGCTTTCAACTATTGCCGAGAGCAGTGGTGCACCTGGACTACATCCCACCATCTCAATTTCTGGTGGTCCTTCAGCACATGTGCCTTCCTTTATTGGCCAGGCAGCAGTGTGTCTTCAGCTGCTGATGCAGCACCTTTGTCATCTAGCATTTCAACTATCAATAATGCATTCGGATAACACTACACCGCCTCAGTTTCTTCTCCTATTGACCCAAATCAAAGACCTCCGGCTCAATCTGTAAATGGCGACTCCTCACTTATGGTGCCAACTGCTAGTATTTTATATCCTTCCGCTGAATCCGAACCAGATTCTAGGCAATTAATATATGATCATGGCCTATTCGTTCAAAAACCTTCTGTTTTAGCAAAATTGTGCAGTGCTGTTTGTGATCAAACCTCATCCGAATTACATCACAGTGATATTTCCTATACACCAGTACCTCAACTACTTGGAACCTTTTACATAGAACTTACTCTTGCTCCTATTCCACAATCCAGACCCATTAGTACCTCCACTTCGGGCACCTAAACTAATAATGTTCACCATATTCTT